AAATGGTAATAGTGATAAAAAAATGTAGTAAAGCCTTTAAAAATAAATAAATAAAAACAATAAAAATATACAAATGTGACAATAAATACATTTACAATTTAAAAAAAAGATAAAAATGATAAAATGATAGATGATAAAAAAATACCGTGTTGGCAGCAGCGGCAGCGTCTCCGGAGGACGCACAGCCCGTCTCCAGCTCCTCCTGGACCACGGTGGCGATGATGGGCACACTGACACACAAACACACATTTAACTGAGCTGACACAAACTCCACAGTCACACTGAGCTACAACACGTATCCAGGCAGACACAGATGAGTTCACTGAAAAACATTTCATGTCTAACACATGTGAAACAAACTGCAGTGTGTTGTCACTGACAGGTGGTTCTCCTTGTTGGGGCCGAAGGAGTCGTTGACGTCTCTCTGCAGGTGGATGGCCAGGTGAGGGATCCTGAGCAGAGGCCTGGACACGTGGAACAGCCTCTGGACCAGCCGGCCTTCGTTCTGGAGGAGGACAACATTCAGTAAGAGAGGATGTTTTGGTCCTCAGATTTAGCTGCAGAGTGAGCGCTCCTTGCCGCAGACGCAGACCCAGGATGAGTCGGAGTGACACGGAGGCAGCTGCCTGGAGAATGCCGTCGAGATAACGTTATATTCTGGCGTCTGTTTGATATCGAGCATTGAATGAGAGTCACCGTCACCCTGAGCGTCCTGATCAGGGGTTGTTGCTTTGCAGAACAGTCTTGCACGATGTGAAAGCAGCATACTCGTGGTCAAACTACAGAAATACTCCTGATAATAAAATACTGATAACAACCCCGGTACCTTGACCATGACGCGGCCAGCGAGGGTCAGGTCCCGGTCGAACCAGGTGTTCCAGATGCCACCGCCGTAGCACTCCACCCCGACCTGCAGACAGCCCTGCTTCGTCCTCTTAGACCTCGGCTTCACCTGGAACACAAACACATCATCTCATCACAGCGCTCCTTGTGCTTGATGCTGAACTCTCTTCTCTCAGATTTCACAACATTTACTTCTATTTTTCCTTTGTTGCATCACACACAATCACTTCCCGCCGTTCTTCAGCGACTAACGTAACAAACAGGACGCGGCGTGCTGCGACGGGAAGATTAACACTGACTGTAAATATGTGTCTTCTCTCCTATCCCGACTGCTTTCTGGGGCTGTGAGGAAGGTGAAGATGAGGATTGACAGGTGGAGGTGTGCGAGCTCTCACCCGGAGGCAGGGGCTGTCTGTGTGGGCGCCGATCATGGAGAAGCCGTTTCCTGGCAGGTAGCGTCCGCCTACAGCGAAGGCGATGAGGCTGGAGAAGTTCCTGGTCACAAAGTACTGAAGGGAGCAGAGAACAGGAGTTATACATCATGACTTCAGCTCACGTGACCGTTCTCGCCCCTCGACGACCGTTGACCTCCACTGACCTTGCTGGACGGCTTGATGTCCCACTGCTCCGTCTCCTTCAGCTCGATGAAGCCCGCCTGCAGCAGACGCCGCTTGCATTCTTCCACCACTACAGGGACGAAGAGGAGAGGAAACGTTTGTGCTCACTGGAGCTGGCTGAGTGGTGATAAAATGAATTTAACCTCGTTACCGTTTCTCATGACTTTCATCTTTTCAACAGCGACTGGAGGACTGAGTCTGTGAGGCTTCAACACTAGACTGGGGCGCCACCTGACACCAGAGGATGCTCACTTTGCACTATATTCACAATCTTCAAACTCCCCCGCAATTTATTTGCAACGTGCATCGCAATGTTTTTGAAAAGCTGATGTGAACTCGGACATTTCAGGCTGCAACAATCCCAAACAAATAAATAAAATAAAGATGGACGACATGACCGCTCCCTGAAAGTGAAGCCGAAACATCTGGATCGCCCCCTGGTGGCCGGCTGCAGTACCGGCTGTACACTCAAAGTACATGTCAAAGAAATTTTTCCAAAAGGTGGTTTCTGTTGTTTTAGGTTGTTGAAGGTTTTTCTGACATCATGATTGACAGTTGCGTGTCAGTTGGTGTGCCGTATTCAGTGACGCTGCTCGGTATTGGTCGGACAAACTATGGCGATCGCGACTGCGCAGACTCCGCCTTCAAATGACAAGCTCTTATTTTCGCCTGTGTGCAGCTGCAACACTCGGGACAGTGTCTCACAGGCTGCAGCTGCACCCACAGCAGCACGACAGCTCCTCAAAGGTGGAGGCTGCTGTTAGTTTAGGAAGCGCTGGATGTGATGTGTAGCAGAGTTTTCTATGAGCACAGCATTTTAATCGCTGATATTAATATAAATTAATTACGCAGCGCACTGACAGTAAATCTGAAGAAGACAAATGTTGTAAATGTTGAAAATAATCCCTAGAAATTCAACCTAAAACAACACATCAGGGTTTGTCTTCCATCCCTGACCTGATGTTCCTGCACACTAACAGTTTCCTTCGTGCTGCTGTCATGCTCGTTAAAGACGCGCTCTGTGGGGCGGCGGAGGTCAAAGTGCAAAGGTAGCAGACATTATGAAACATCTGTTCCATCTGCACACACTTTATCTTATCTGGAGCTCAAAGTTGTCTGTTAACATGAACAGCGCCTTCTTAACGCTGACACACACACATCTCTTTGTTCTCACACTTGATGATGAACTTCATATCAAATCTCTCTCTTATCGAACACGAGCTGCTGAAGTGCTAATTTCAGATTGTATAAACTGAGCAGGGTGTGATGATGTCAGCAGAAGTTTAAACCGTGGAAAGTTGTGGTGATGCGTTTATGTCCAAGCATTTTGTTGGAACAACTGATAAGACACTACGAGCACAAACTGTGACAGGAGTCAACATCAGACGGAGACACTGGATCCCTGAAATAAAGCACCACATATTAAATACCAAACTGAGGCACAGACTCGATGCTTCGCACACGCTCACAGTTGATTTCCAGTCTTGCTCCTGACATGCAGAGACTTCTCTGAATCTCTTGATGATGTTTTGGATTGTAGATGGTGAAATCTCTGAATTCTGCGCCTTGAGAAACATGTTCTTCAACTGACTGTTTGCTCGCACAGTTTTCACAACGCGGTGAACAACCAAGTCTTTCCAGGATCCTTTCACACCTGATCATCTAATCTGTTACCTATTAACCCGTTTATGTGTCAAATGTTCCAAACTGGTCCAGGTCTGAGTGAGACCGCTGCAGCCCGCTTCAACCACTTGGGGCAATTGTGCATCGTCACTTTACATCCACAAAAAAAATGTTTTTGTCACTGACAGGCTCAGGTTGTTACTCTAAGTGTCTGACAACATTATGAAAGGATCCCTACAGAGATAGAGCTGTTTGTTTAACCAGAAACAGCCCCAAAATCACCATCACCAAACCCACCAGACTCCAGTTAAAGAGGCAACAGACAGCGTCTTTTCCTAAATATATCATGATGAAAATAATGTGCGTTGCACAGGGTAGTGTCCACAGTAAAATCACACTATCAGTGTTTCCATAGGTTACTTAGTGGCTGTGTAAACTCTGCAATAAGCTTCTGACACCGGGGTGAAATTTCGCGGAAAAAATTTGCTTTACAGCAGGAAACGCTTCAGACAAGACAAGTAAAGGCACAACACAACAAGACACAACAAGACAAGACGAGATGAAGTGAGACCAGACAAGACAAGTAAAGACACAACAAGATAAGGCGAGACAAGACACGTCAAGACATGACATGACACGACAAGACGAGATGAGATGAAATGAGACCAGACCAGAACAGACCAGACAAGACAAGACAAGTAAAGACACAACACAACAAGACACGTCAAAACACGACATGACACGACATGACACGACATGAAACGACAAGACGAGACAAGATGAAATGAGACCAGACAAGACAAGTAAAGACACAACAAGACAAGGCGAGACAAGACACATCAAGACAGGACACGACATGACATGACGAGACGAGACGAAACCAGACAAAACAAGTAAAAGACACAACAAGATAAGGTGAGACAAGACACGTCAAGACACGACATGACACAACAAGACAAGATGAGATGAAATGAGACCAGACCAGACAAGACAAGACAAGTAAAGACACAACACAACAAGACACGTCAAGACACGACATGACATGACCAGACCAGACAAGACAAGAAAAGTAAGGACACAACACAACAAGACACGTCAAGACACGACATGCATGACCAGACCAGACCAGACAAGACAAGTAAGGACACAACACAACAAGACACGTCAAGACACGACATGACATGACCAGACCAGACCAGACCAGACAAGACAAGTAAAGACACAACACAACAAGACACGTCAAGACACGACACGACATGAAACGACATGAAACGATGAGACAAGACAAGACGAGATGAAATGAGACCAGACAAGACAAGACAAGTAAAGACACAACAAGATAAGGCGAGACAAGACACGTCAAGACAGGACATGACATGACATGACGAGACGAGACGAAACCAGACAAGACAAGACCAGACCAGACAAGACAAGTAAAGACACAACACGACATGACGAGACGATACGAGACGAAACGAGAGCAGACAAGACAAGTAAAAACACAACACAACAAGACATGTCAAGACACGACATGACATGACAAGACAAGACCAGACCAGACCAGACAAGACAAGTAAAGACACAACACAACAAGACACGTCAAGACACGACACGACACGACACGACGAGACGAGATGAGACAAAATGAGACCAGACAAGACAAGACAAGACAAGTAAAGACACGTCAAGACAGGACACGACAGGACATGACGAGACGAGACGAGACGAGACGAAACCAGACAAGACAAGACCAGACAAGTAAAGACACAACACGACATGACGAGACGATACGAAACGAGACCAGACCAGACAAGACAAGACAAGACCAGACAAGTAAAGACACAACACGACATGACGAGACAATACGAGACGAAACGAGACCAGACCAGACAAGACAAGACAAGTAAAGACACAACACAACAAGACATGTCAAGACACAACACGACATGATGAGACGAGATGAGATGAGACCAGACCAGACAAGACAAGTAAAGACACAACACAACAAGATAAGGCGAGACAAGACACGTCAAGACATGAGAAGACAAGACGAGACGAGACGAGACGGAAAAAATCTGCTTTACGGCAGGAAACGCGTCATGTATTGCGAAACTGGTCGGTCAGCCAATCAGGGACTGGAGCTGGTCCTTATGAGGAGTTGGGCATGAGATAGTTGAGTCACGAGCACAATGGCAGACGGACAAAGTTTGGAGACAAGTGAAAAACGGCCTAGCAAAAGAAAAGGAGCTCCTCTGTGTGAGGAGGCAAAGAAGAGCAAAAAGGAGAGTGATAAAAGAAGAGGAAAAACAAGAGTAAACCTCAGTCAGGCGTTCAAGAGATGGAGGGAGCTCCGTGACCAAAGAGGCTTCAAAACCCATGTCCAGCTAGCTTTCTTTCTAATGGATCAGTAAGTAACACGGCTAAATGTTAGCTAGACCAGAGAGGACTGTACTGTACTGGCTGCTAGTTCATTCCTAGCTGGCCAGCATCGCAAATCGCCGCAACCAGGGAGCGGGTAGCGAGTGTTGGTCGGCTGACATCCTGGTTGCCATTCTACGGCAGCCTGATAATCTGATAATTGTTGCTCTCGGTGTCTTTACTCATTTATTTAGTAGAGTGTCCACACACCTTCTCATTCTACATATACATAGAGGTATACTGGTGGCTTTACAGCCTACATTTTATTCATTATCTCTGATCCCCACGCTCAATTTGGTCGTTGCCACAGTGCGACGCAACACCACTGACGCTAGGTGGCGCCAAGCTAAAAAACAAATCCTACGTGTTGCCTCTTTAAATAAACAGTGATTTGGTGATGGTGACTAGAAAAACAACTTCCTGCGCCATACTGAGAGTACACGTTACTGATTACATACTTTTACTTAAGTATATCTAAACGCAGGACTTTAACTTGTAGTTGAGTACTGTCACAGAGTGGTGTCAGTACTTTTACTGCAGGAAAGTATGCGAGTACTTCTTCCACAGGACAGCCCATATTTATGCTGTAATAGAGTACTAAGGCACAAACGTTACCGTGATACGGAGACACTCCTCTGTTGACAAACTGCAGGAACTCTTTGGCTGCGGACTGCACGGCCTCTTTGGAGCTCTTCATCCTCAAACACTGGAGAAAGAAAAGAGAAACAGCTGAGGAAAGCTAACAGCTAGCAGCTAGCAGCTACTACTTCGGGCACTAATCGCGAGATTTCAGCCTGTCTCGCTCTGCTGCTCCATAACTCAAACATATAAACAACTTAATACCGACCAGCACGGTTAAAGCAGTAAAGTAACAAATATCTCGCCGCCTAAATGTGTCATTAAATGACATTATTTGGCAAAATCCAGAGCGTGTCCGATAACGGACGCACCGGCGCTTAGCTAACGGCTGCTAACTAACCTGCAGGGGACAGCTCGAGCTCTGCGCCTCTCCTTCTTCGCTCCTCTTCCTCTGCTGGCCAAAGTCAAAGCAGCTCTCAGAGAGGGAGCAGCACCTCCACATGCCGCGGACACAATAATCATTTTTATGGCTCTCACCTGCATTAATTGCACTTTCAAACTCTGGACTCCGGAGCGGCGGCTCGTTGGTGACAGGCAGACACGGACCAGCAGGGACAGAAGGAGTCAGTGTCTGAACGGACACAGCGCCACAGCGACACCCAGCGGACAGGCGGTGCAATTACAGCTGTTAGATTCCTCACAGGCCCACACAGAGAGTTCAGAAAGTGTTTCTTTTGTTTTAATCTGCTTATTATGTTTATTAATGTCGTTATTGTTTCTGATGACTCATGGCCATGGGTATCAAATGTGTTTTCCAGGATCAACAGAGTCTATAACATGTTGAAGAGACGGGGTATGGCTGTAACAACACCGTGTTCACACATGTGGACATGGATTTGGTCACAGTATTATTTATTTGAGTAGTTTGACAACACTGGTGTTCATGTGTGATCTGTACATATAAAACAACTTACACATTAAAGGCAAGACACAACACAACGAGACGAAGACGAAACGAGACGAACGAGACGAAGACGAGACGAGACAAGTAAAGACACAACAAGACAAGTTGAGATAAGTCAAGTTAATGTGTAATCCGTACATATAAAACAACTTACACATTAAAGGAAAGGCAAGACATGACGAGACCAGACCAGACCAAACGAGATGAGACAGATGAGACAAGACGAGACAAACGAGACAAAACGAGACGAGACAAACAAGACGAGACAAGACCAGATGAGACAAACCAGACAAGACGAAAATGAGACAAACGAGACGAGACGGAGACGAGATGAGACCAAACAAGACGAGACTGATGAGACGAGACGAGACAAACAAGAAGAGACAAGACAAAAACAAGATGAGACGAGACGAGACAAACAAGAAGAGACAAGACAAAAACAAGATGAGACGAGACGAGACAAACAAGACGAGATGAGAAAATCGAGACGAGACAAGACGAGATGAGACAAACGAGACGAAATGGGACCAGACAAACGAGACAAGACGAGACCAGACAAACGAGACAAGATGAGACGAGACAAACGAGACAAGATGAGACCAGACCAACAAGACGAGACGAGACAAACGAGAAGAGACAAACGAGACAAGATGAGATAAGACAAACGAGACGAGACCAGACAAATGACACGAGACCAGACAAACGAGAGAAACAAGACGAGACAAACGAGACAAGACGAGACCAGACAAACGAGACGAGACAAGATGAGACGAGACAAACGAGAAGAGACAAATGAGACAAGACGAGACCAGACAAACGAGACGAGACCAGACAAACGAGACAAGATGAGACCAGACCAACGAGATGAGACGAGACAAGAGAAACGAGACGAGACGAGACAAACGAGACGGGACCAGACAAACGAGACGAGACAAATGAGACAAGATGAGATCAGACCGACAAGACGAGACGAGACGAGACAAACGAGAAGAGACAAACGAGACAAGACGAGACGAGACAAACGAGACGAGACCAGACAAACAAGATGAGACGAGACAAACGAGACAAGATGAGACCAGACCAACGAGACGAGACAAGAGAAACGAGACGAGACCAGACAAACGAGACGAGACGAGACAAACGAGACAAGATGAGACCAGACCGACAAGACGAGACGAGAGAAACGAGACGAGACCAGACAAACGAGACAAGATGAGACCAGACCGACAAGACGAGAGAAACGAGAAGAGACAAACGAGACAAGACGAGACGAGACAAACGACACGAGACCAGACAAACGAGATGAGACAAGTAAAGACACAACACAACAAGACAAGTCAAGTTAAGAAACGATGAGACAAGTTGTGACAAGATAGAAAAGATAATTTTCTAAATCACCTTTTTTTTGTTTTTTGTTTTTTTGTTGTTTTGTTTGTTTTTTACAATTTGTGGGACATTTCTTACCAAGTTGCTCGTTGCCTTCTTTCCAGTGTTTTTGAAAGAAATTGCACCAATCCGCTCAAAGTTTCAAATCCACAGAGACATGCAAAAAGGCCACAAAGAAATGACCCCAAAGATTAGCAAGAAATGAGTAAAAGGAGCAAATTAAAAACAAGAAAATTAGCTAAAAAATATTAAAAATTCTCATAATTCTGTAACATGATTTTAAATTGTAATAAACATGATAATAATATGATTAAAAATGTAGTTTTCTCTTGCTTTTTTCTTTTTTCCTAGTTTTTTAAATTTTTTTTCCTTTTAAAAAATTATTTTAAAAATATATTAAATTCTAATAATTCAGTGACATGATTCTAAAGTGTAATAATAATTATTATAGTATTGTTTGTCCATAGATTTTTTCTTTTTTCCTTATTTTTTTAAAATAATTTTCTTAATCTTTTTTTAGTTGTTACAATTTGCGGGACATTTCTTATCAAGTTTTGTGGTACCAGTGATGAGCAGTCTTTGATGAAGGTCATATTGTTATGCTTCTCATGTTGAAACCATCTCTCTCTGATTTTTCTATTTTCATATTTGTATCCAAACACCTCTCTCTCTCTCTGTCATGACTCATGTTAGTTAACTCTTTATTTCCGTGATGCTGCCATTCATCACTGTCTCTCCACAGGAACCAGCCTTATATAGACCTGAACAGCCAGGGAGGAGGAGGAGGAGGAGGAGGAGAGAGTCTGAAAACGATGAAGATATGTTTATATCAGCTGTCAGCTCGCAGCGTCTCTTCTGCTCCTGAGGAAGCCCAGAGGGATGAGCACACACACACACACACACACACACACACACACACACACAGACACACACACAGACTCTATTAATAGATGTGAGCAACAGGCTGCAGCAGAAAGTGTCAAACAAACTGGGATGTGACTGTGTGGGAATTTGTCCCAGTACACCAGTACTGTTCTGTAGTTATAATGGTGTGAATGGGAGCAGCACACACCAGGACTCATGACCTTTGATCTGGTCCCAGTGGTCTCTGCACTAAACGTGTATACACATGCAGCACTATCTCTCACCCTGGTGGGACCAAACAGAGATGCAAAGACACAACACAGAGATGAATTCCACATTTAGGGAATCCATTAACATGGAAGCTTTCAATGATCAGTGTAACTTTTCTTGGTTTGCTTTTATTCCCAGTCCTTTACAGACCACTGCTCACCACACGGGCCCTATTGCACAGGCCACGTACCGACCAGGAAGAGACACAAAAGGAGCACAAGGAAATGCAAAGCCACTGCAAGGAGACACAACACGACCAAAGAACTACACAAAGTCACACTAAAGAAGAAGAAAGACCCACAGATACATGAAGCAACTACAGTGAGACACAAAACTGCAAAAACACACAAAATTAGTACAAAGAGAGGAAACACAAAACAATGATGACGATACACAAATCAACTACAAAGAGACACAAACAACAAGAAAGATACAAAAAAACAACGACAAAGTGACACAAAGCTACGAAGGGACACAAACTAACAAAGATGATGACAAAGAAACACAAAATGGCTACAAACATACACAAAACAACAACAAAGAGGCAGGAAATGGCCACAAAGAGACACAAAACAACTACAAAAAAATACAAAATGATGATAAAGAAACACAAAACGACTACAAAGAGACACAAAACAACAACAAAGAGGCAGGCCATGGCTACAAAGAGACACAAAACAACAACAAAGAGGCAGGAAATGGCTACAAAGACACATGAAATAATTACAAAGATACAAAACAACTATAAAGAGACACAAAACAACTACAAAGAGACACAAAACAACAACAAAGAGGCAGGACATGGCTACAAAGAGACACAAAACAACAACAAAGAGGCAGGAAATGGCTACAAAGACACATGAAATGACTACAAAGATACAAAACAACTACAAAGAGACAAAAAACAACAACAAAGAGGCATGAAATGACTACAAAGACATACAAAACAACTACGAAGAGGCAGGAAATGGCTACAAAGACACATAAAATGACTACAAAGAGACACATAACGAGTATAAAGAGACACAAAATGACTACAAAGATACAAAACAACTACAAAGAGACACAAAACAATTACGAAGAGACACAAAACAACAACAAAGAGGCATGAAATGACTACAAAGATACAAAACAACTACAAAGACATACAAAACAACTACGAAGAGGCAGGAAATGGCTACAAAGACACATAAAATGACTACAAAGAGACACAAAACAACTACAAAAAAATACAAAATGGTGATAAAGAAACACAAAACGACTACAAAGAGACACAGAATGACTACAAAGAAACACAAATTGACTACAAAGATACACAAAACAACAACAAAGAGGCAGGACATGACTACAAAGAGACACAAAACAACTACAAAAAATACAAAATGATGTGAAAGAAACACAAAACGACTACAAAGAGACACAAAACAACAACAAAGAGGCAGGACATGGCTACAAAGAGGCATGAAATGGCTACAAAGACACATGAAATGACTACAAAAATACAAAACAACTACAAAGAGACACAAAACAACAAGAGGCATGAAATGACTACAAAGATACAAAACAACTACAAAGACATACAAAACAACTACGAAGACGCAGGAAATGGCTACAAAGACACAAAATGACTACAAAGAGACACAAAACAACTACAAAAAATACAAAATGATGATAAAGAAACACAAAATGACTACAAAGAGACACAAAACGACTACAAAGAGACACAAAACAACAACAAAGAGGCAGGACATGGCTACAAAGAGACACAAAACAACAACAAAGAGGCATGAAATGGCTACAAAGACACATGAAATGACTACAAAAATACAAAACAACTACAAAGAGACACAAAACAACAACAAAGAGGCATGAAATGACTACAAAGATACAAAACAACTACAAAGACATACAAAACAATTACGAAGAGGCAGGAAATGGCTACAAAGACACATAAAATGACTACAAAGAGACACAAAACAACAACAAAGAGGCATGAAATAGTACAAAGATACAAAACAACTACAAAGACATACAAAACAACTACGAA